TTGTTATTGGTTAGGTGAAGAATTGGGCAGTTGTGAATCAAAATATATATGATGATGTTGGCAGAAAATTAGAAATAGACTATATATATCCTGAGTAATAATCTGCAGATATTGTTAAAAATAATTTTATTTAACTATTTATGCTCAAATTGGTAAGAAATACAAGTACAATTTTTCATCTCCATGTTGAGCTTTAAATATATATATATATTTTCTCCAAACAGGTAAGGCATTTACAGTTGATACAGAAGTCATTTGTTACAATTATGGAAAATTTTCAGGAAGTTGGAAACTCAAACAAGCCTCTATAGAAAGTGATGAAAACAAAAAAAAATGCAGTTAATAGAATAGTGTTAGGATTGTCAAACTTTTATGAGGAGAGAACTTCTGGGTTTGAAGCAATGCAATCTTTTGTGCGTGCAAGAGATGATCCTTTTGCAAGAGAAGTGAATAGTGAAAAAATTAAGATAGCAAGTTTATTATCACACATGTTACCATTGTTTTATCAGCAAATCAAACAAGGATGATTTGTTTTAACTGTATTAGTTGTAAATTTTATAAGATTAATGTGTCTTAACTACCTTGATCATTCTTAGCTTTTCAAACATTTATACTTTTGAATTTTCACTCAATTTTCTAAGCTTATTGCGCATTAGACTTTTATGTTTGCTCAAGAATAAAAAAACAAAGATTGTCTGCAAAATTTCCAAATTCTGCAATTTTAACAATAAAGGAAATTCAATTGTTGATCATATTTTTTTGTTAAAAAATACAATGTGAACATAAAAATTATATATAGGGATAAGTGTATATGAAAAGTAATAATAAGTATAATGATTATAATGAATATCAAAAAGCAATTGATTTTTTAGAAAAAGTGGTTGTTCTTCAAGAATTCCCAAGGAACAATCTACGGAATCAAGAGAATTTCAAGTCTATTGCATAAAGCCCTGTAAAAAAATGACACACCAGAATATTTCCATTATATATCTGTGAATATGTTTATCACTCCGTAAATGTTCAGTTTATTTCATAAAAGCAGCAACCAGTTGAGTAGGCAATCCGGATTTTTTCCATGATGTCATTTATGTTAATATAGGGAAATTTGTAAATCTGGAATGTGAGAATAAGATTTTATAGTTCTGGAATATTATTAACTATAAACTCGCAAATAAAAACTGGCATTTTTTTTCCTTACAAAGCATTTTACTCGTTAACTGTAACTTGATTGAAACATACTAATATAATATTATTAATTAATTAGTCGCATGACATTTCTCGCAAGTTGTAAAATAATAAAATTTTTTGACGCATCCAAATTCAAGCATAAATGCAAATAATTATACTGTTATGAATATTTGTAGTTTAAAGTTTTTTTTTACATTTTATTCCTACATAAACAATAACGATTAAAATAATTAGTTAATATGAGCAAGCAACAATAATATACCAAACCAAGAGGAGACTTTGACTGGCTTGTAATGTCCTTTAACTGTGTTAATTATCGCTTAAAAGCAAATTCGTTCCCAAAAGCATTTAACTATTTCCCGAAAGTTTTTAAAAATTAACCACATTGGCAGAAGGTTCTCCCTAGCCCCCGAAAATGTTCCGACTTGTCAAAAAAAGAGAAGAGAAATGTAATGAGATATTTAATATTATTATTAAAATGCGTCAACAAAATTGTGATTTAAAATCAATATACTAAATATTAACTATAAATAAGTTTTGAATATTATGTGCAATAAAAGTCAGGCTTTCTTTTGAATCTAAGATCACTCAATTCGATCAAGTACTTAGCAAGATCCAAAAATATACGGTAATAGGTAAAGAACCCGGTCCCAAAAGGACTGATTAAAATCCCCAGTTTTGCTACAGCATGCCCATATTAGATGGATTGAACAAAAATGAGGGACCGCCTACTGAGGATATTGAACATGATAGTATTGAATAGGTGCCAAAGAAGTTTAAAATTGTTCATTATTTTTTACCAGTGTCACGTGCAACCAATAAAATACTTTTGTTCTATATATAAATGCACGGTCTCGCCTGGTGCGCTTATGGAAGGCCGACTTTACTGATATACTAATACAGGCAAGCATAACGGCATAGCTACTGGTAATAATAATAAAAATAACTTTTCGAAGGATCTCTAAATCTTACAAACTCTCAAAAAAAAATTTACACAAAACCTTTACATTAAAAAAGATCATTAAAATATTAAATTCAGTGAATTATTATCAGTTAAATCAAATTTAATTTCGTTATAGTAGATAGTTTTAAAATTTTAATGCTAGTATATATTATGGGTCAAATTATGTTCTTTTTTCTAATTTTTTGCAAACCTTAGGGACAGGTTATATTTTAAACTTAATTTTGATCTGGGTCAAATCGTATAACAAACAGGAATTTTTGCTGCTGACCTATCTATATATGAAGTTTGCGGGTTCTGTGCAAACGCATTTTTCTGGTCACCCTATACGTTACGCCCATTTGTTAACATCAAAAAATAAATTGTTAATTTTGGACAAAATTTATTCATAGCAATTAAAAATAGATATACATAGATATTATTTTAAAAAAATTTAAAGTTACTTGTAAAATGGCTGGAATACAATTTTCATCTATAAACCAAATCTATTAGATTCTGACCAATTAATTTTACATATAGGACAAATCTTTTCGTTTTGTGAAAAATAACGATCGGCACAATGATTATGCAAACGAGCCTTACAATCTTGTAATTCGCATCTTTGTCCCTATCATAATATTTATTAAACATTAAACATTGGATATAATGAATGATATAATGAATGATAAATGATGATGATGATTTGCTTACTTTAGTTACAATTTCTAAACATACTACACACTCAAAAATATTTTCATCAAATTCTTCCTTTAAATAACTTTGTAATTCAAGAATTGTTCTTTGACTTAAAGAGTATTTTCCTTCACTAAATTAATACACACAAACAATATATATAAACGATGGTTTTAATATATAAATGTATAGTTTAGCATTCCAACATACCGTGACTGTATCAACCATTTATCATTGACAAATTTTTGTAATAATGCTTCTGTTGCAACTTTAGTCATTTGAGTTTTAAGTTTAGATGATTCTTTTAATGCTATAATAGATGATACAGAATAGGTTTCATCATCTGCTGTAACAATTAATTCTATCTTTTTATCAGAATAATAAGTTATATTATTATTGATAAATTATAGATTAATATTATCGATAATTATAATAATCACAAAAGATCAAATAGATTTTTAAAATTTACCAAATGTTTAAGATATGAAATTTCTGAAGCAGTATATTCAGTAGCTAATTTTGCCACTTCATCGCCTTTAGTATTGACCTTTATTTTTATTTTTTTGAAAAAAATAACACTTTTAACCCAAAAAAATGTTTCTAAAAACAAAATAAGATAAAATATTACGACTATATACCAAAGCCCAAACAATATGACCATCTTCCTCATCAGAAGATTTTCTAAATTCTAAATCTATTGTATTCAATTTTTGATTAACTGTAGTAATAAAATTTTGAAAACTTTCTTGTCTATTATCTATTTATCAATATGATCATCAGTATCGTTATTATAAAAAAGTTTTAATGATTTAATAATATAAATTATTATTATTTATTACCTTTAGTTATTTCACAAACCTTTCTGTAAATTTCTATGCCTTCAACTTCGCTAAAAAAGCATCGAGAGATAGCACTTTGAACAAATAAACGGTGAGTATCTGTATAAACCATTTTTTACTATTTCCAGTGTTTGCAAAAAGAATATTATGAAGAAGACTAAAAAATTATAAATGTTAAAGCTGGAAATAATTCTGCCGATTTTTCATATTTACCTCTTTAAAAATTTTTTTTTAAAAGTCCAACTTTTTACGTGTCATTCGTGTTTAAATTTCTATCATTTTTTTTTTTAATGAACATCTAAAATTGGTTTGATAAATTTAGTTATTTGTGACCACATTTCACTTCATTTCAAAAGTATGATTCTAGCCCGGAAAATAAAAGGAAGCTCTATTAAAAGTTTTTGGAATTCTGAAAGTTCCATTCTTTCAAGAGCTCCTTTAGAGATTGGTGACTTTGTAGCAATCACAAAGTAATAATTAATATTATATTTATTGAAGATTATTGTGATAATTATGATTAAATTTTGATTAATGATAAAATAGAACAGGAAGAGAATTTGCTGGAATTATCACCAAGTTGCGAAAAGATCCTGACAGCAATGGGAAAAACACTATTTTACTTCATAATGGACATTTTTTAACACATCGAGATGATGATGTTTTCTTTCAAATACCTGGTTATGCTCACACAAAGGTAGCAAATGGAAATTTGTTAAATACTACTGGTTCTTCAATTCCTATAAACTATGCAAAAACTGGCATTTATTGAATTTGTTAATAGAGTAATATTTTATTAATTTTGGTTAAATAAAGAAATCTGTTTATTATTGATTTTATGTTGTTCATTAATCTAATCATATTTAAATTTTAAAGGAAAGTGTTCTTGCAGCATTAACTAAAGATAAAAAAAGAATCGATGAAAATGAAATTTCAGTTTACAGGACATCCGAAAGAACTTTATTCGTCACCAACTTCCCTGAATCAACAGATTTGCATGAATTATTTAAAAAGGTAAACAATCATATGCGTATCTCATTGCTAGAACATATTCTTTATAGTTTTAATTATTATCACTTTAAAAAAATCTAATTACATCATTTAATAAAATGAATTAGTATGGTGAGATTATTGAAATTCGTGTACCAAATAAAGTTGTCAAGAAAAGAAGATTTGCATATGTGGAATTTAAAGATCGAGTATTTTATCATTTGTGTTTAATTAAATTTAAATTTAATGATAATGTTTATTATTGACAAGTAAAATTTTTATTAAAGGAATCAGCTCATTCTGCATTAGAATTGAATGATTATGAACTGGTTTCTGGTGAAAAATTAATAGTTTTAGTATCAGATCCTTCTTTGAAGAAAGCCCGATCTCCATCAAGGTATTAAAATTTTTCGTCTTTACTGATTATTGTAAAATATTTGATTTTATACTTATATGTTTTAAATAATAGTTCTAATCGTGATGTTCTACAAAAAAGCGAGGCAAATAAAAAAAGGTTTTTAGATATCAACTTTTATTCAATAAATTTTGTTATTTAATGTTGTGAAATTTTCACGGTTAAATTTTTTCCATAATGCATATTTTGGATATCTTATTAACTTTTTAAAAATTTATATTAGCGATCAGTTAAAATCGTTCACAGTTACAGTACCTAAACCCAGACCTTTTAAAAAGCCATCGGCTAAAATAATCGCACCTAAAAAAAATCCACAATCTTTGTTGAATAAAGAAGGTAATTTAAACTTTGATAATAAATCAATGTAAATGATATAGTAAAAAAAAAATTTTTTTTTAGATGTTTCCGCGACCGTTACTACAGAAGATAATAATTTTAAAGCTGAGGCAACGATTCAAATGGATCATAATAATGACAGCAATATTTCTAGTTCTTCAGGCAATAAAAAGACAAATGCTGATTTTAGGAATATGTTTTTACAAAGTAAAAAATAGCTTATATACTTCATGAGGTAATAAAAAAGTTAGTCCGTTTATCACTTTCCTTTTATATAATTATTGTAGTCTCGTGACAGTAGATCAACGAAGTGGATTTTTATAGCTTAAGTTTTGTATAATAAAGCTACAATGATATCGAGCCCATTATTACACATTTTACGATTGGCTGTTTTTTTAAAAAATTTTCTTTGGTCAAATTACATTACACATAAAAAAACAAAATTACAGCATGCAATGAGAAAATTGGTATTAGTAATTTCGGATATATATTTCTGCTGCTATTAATATTAATATTAATATTAATTTCGGCTGCATACATGAAAAAACTTTGGATTTGTGAGCAATCTATCCTAGATATATAAGTTACCAAGACTGAAATTAGCCAGCTAACTTCTCAATTATTTATTTTGTTTCCATCAATAAATGCTACTATCTTTTCTCTTGGATTGATATTGTTTATTTCGTTTTTTTAAAAAGTAATACATTCTTAGTCGTTGAATCCAAAGCTGAAATTTTAATATTAATAGTAGCCGAAGTTATATCCGAAATCATTTAAACTCCTTAATTAAAAATAAATCATAGCATGATTCATTCATATGAAGAATGTCGAGAATTCAAGTATCGCCAAATATTCTGCAAATGCAAAAACAGTTTTGGCATCTATGATTGAAGTTGGAGAATTGTTATCGTTGCTGATTTAAATTAGCCAGTTGTTGGGATAGGCTAAGGTTAGTGAGAGAACGTATCCTCACAATATTGCAAACTCGCCAATGAATTTTATGTTGTATAATATTAAACACAGAAAAACGATGGTATTATTATTATTATGAACTATCAATTAGTTAAAATTTAAAAAAAAAACTAAGGTTTTGGCATTTCACAAAATTTGGTGTTCCTGTTTAGTGTAACAAGTAAATGGTATTTATTGTTTTTCACACAATATTAATTAAAAAAAAATAGCAAAAAAAACCAAAATGGCTCCGGAAACAAAGAGCCGTAAACCTGCGAGTTAGTGATTCAAGAACTTGTTTAAGTTTTTATTTTCAGATGAATTCTGTTTTTAACCTCTAAAGCATTTGCTTTTTTTAGATACCGCCTTTAAACAACAACGATTAAAGGCATGGCAACCTATCCTTACACCAAAAACAGTTTTGCCAACTTTCTTTATCATTGGAATCATCTTTGCACCACTTGGTGGTTTATTGTTATGGGCTAGTAACAATGTAAATAGATATTTATCAAAATACATTTTATTTTTCTATAACATAAAATAATTTTTAATTGCTGCTTCATAAATAATTACATACATATATAAATTTAGGTGTCTGAAATTAATGTTGAATATACATTTTGTGATTCAGCAGCCCCAATTTATCCAATTTTTGAAAAAATGCCATCTAAATATATTCAAACTTCATTTTCTGGAGCGATTCCAGGATCTGTTGGATCAACACAATGGAGTCGTCAAGTTATTGTACCGATTCAATCTAACCCCCAAAAGATATCCTATTGGAGTTGTAGAATAAGATTCGATATACCAAACCAATTGGAACCTCCAGTCTTTTTTTATTATCATTTAACAAATTTTTACCAAAATCATAGACGTTATGTCAAAAGTCTTGATCCTGATCAATTGAAAGGCGTTGCTGTTAGTCCATCAAATTTACAAAAAAATTGCAAACCAATGGCCGTTACATCCGATGGTTTTCCGATTTATCCTTGTGGCTTGATTGCTAACTCCCAATTCAATGGTAAATTATGACAAGTAAATTGTTGTTGCTGTTAAAACATTTTTATTTGTAATTTTATATTAATATATATTTTTTAATTTAGATACAATCAGTAATCTCTCACTTTTAAGCGAATCAAATCTTGATGTTATTGAAGGATCGTATAACTTTAGTCAAAGTGGTATAGCATGGCCATCTGACAGACAAAAATATGGCAAAACAACTTATGACTACAGTCAAATACGTCCACCACCCGATTGGGCTGATAGATATCCTAATGGTACTTACACAGCTGAATATCCACCACCTGACCTTCCAAACGATGAACTTTTTCAAGTCTGGATGCGAACAGCTGGTCTACCTAGCTTCAGAAAGCTTTATGGTAAAAATGAAATAGAGCCATTGAAAGCTGGAACCTATGAAGTTATAATTGAATACAGTAAGTTTTCTTTTCAAAAAAACCATTATTTGCTACTCATTTATAATTAATTAAATGAACAATATTAATATTATTTTTTAAAAAAAAGAATTTCCTGTTACTAGATATGGTGGAACCAAGTCATTTGTAATTTCCACTGTATCATTCCTTGGTGGTAAAAATCCTTTCTTGGGATTCGCTTATATTGGAGTTGGTATTCTTTGTGTGCTACTTGGATGTGCATTTACTGCTAGACATTTATACAAACCAAGGTAACAAAATATTTTTATGTAGACAATAGTAATATTAATATAATTTTTTATATCATCGAGTTAATTATTATAATTTTTTATTTTAGAAAACTGGGTGATCATGCTTATTTGTCTTGGAATAATCCTACGCCTACAAACAACCAATAATCATAGGATTTCGAATTAACTAGGATCAAATTGTATGATAATTTGATTTAAAAAATTTAAATAATTAATTAATTAAATCACACTCATTCATTTATTCATTCGCCCAACGAACATTCATTTAATTAATATATATTTTTTAGATTATTATATTTAGTAAAGTTAATCCATTTCTATGTATTTATTAATAAATTTTTATTTTTAATTGAATTTTTAACCACAAATTAAATAAACATATCATATTTGTTTTTTCCATCAAACTAGTTTTTAAATTTTCCAAATTGTTTGTTTTATCAAGTAGTAGGGAAGGAAGATGTCGGCTAAATTTGCAAGATTTTTAACAAAAATAAATAGATAAAATATCTATACACAAGCAATTTTATATAGCTGTAAAATTAAATAGTAGGTGTCAAAACCAAACCAAGTCGTTCCACGTTTATTTCTTTTATTTTCAATCTTATTACATCACCAACTTCACTATTTTCAGATTCAATTAATCTTCCGCGAATTCCAAATTCTCTTAATAAAACTAGTTTAGAATCACTTTCACCCTTTTCAATAACCAAACCTGTTAATTCTGGCAATATATTAAGATTAATCATTCGGTTCAGAAGCGTTAAAACCCAAAATTTTGAACTTTTTTGAGATTGCCTAGAAATCTCTCTCTCTTGTTTCCTTATATGTCGAGAGTAATCAATTAAAATATCATTTTGGAATGGATAAGGTGATTTGAGTAATGAAGCTTTTATTTGCCAATGAGCTAAAAGATCAACATATCTACGTAAAGGTGATGTAACTTTAATATAACCATCCTTAATGCCTAAAGCCCAATGTGGGCCATATTGAGTTGTAAGTTCTACACGTTTTATTGTTGATCGTATTTTGTTTATTGAACTAAATGGTATGGAGCCAGTTTTCATATCAATATTCGATAATAACTCTTCAATAGCTGACGATTCTGGTGGATTTTGAAGGCGATATAAAATTGGTATTTTGTGTTCACGACAATATTGTGATGCAACTCTACCTGCCATGATCATAAATTCTGCTACCATCATACGGGATGGTGAAAAGTTGCCTTTATCTAAACTCACATGTATACTAGGCACACCAGAGAAAACTATTGGATAATTAGGATTGACGGTGGTAACTGGTAAAGTCTTTGGTGATAATTGAATGCTTGATTGTAGATTGTATTGTGTATAACTACCAGCCTTGACACGATTATGCATGTGAAAAACAGAAATTTTTTGTAAATCAATAAGATCTTTCTGAAGTTGTGGTGATGGAGGTTTTTTCTTAATCTTTGTCAAAGTGGTTGGATAAGGATGGTAATGTTGTTGCTGCTGAACAAATTCAATATCTTCCTTACTAGCAGGAACATAATCCCATACCAATAAATCATCAACATCATCATAATGTAAAGTATAAATCTTCCTAACAATACCAGGTCTGATTTTATAATCTAATATATTTCCATTATCGTCAATTCTTAAACTAAAAGTCATGACATAATTTCCCGTCTTCCCTGAATCAGCACCTAAGCTGAATCTTTTTTCATTCATAACTGACGGGATCATTGGATAATTTCTTTCAGGAAAATAAACACTTTGTACTCTAGAAAATGCAATATTAGATAATGCATGATGTGGCGGAATATATGCTGATGGATCAGCAACATGAACATGTATCCAGGTTGAAGAGACATCAGACCCATCTAGTGATGATGATTTTGAGACACGTTCAATTGATATCCCATCATCCAATTCATGCGCAGTAGGATCATCTATTGTGTAAACAGGAAGATTACCAAAATCATGTCGAATATTTTCACATATATCATACGGATAAAAGTCTTCGGAACTTAATTTATCAATCATCGTCTTAATCATCGTTTTCTTGGACTTTCTTTTAGAATTATTATTATTACTATTGATCATAGAATTATGAGGTTTTGAATTTATTAATTTTTCAGCAAATTGTGTTGCTAATTCAAATTGTTTATCAGATTTCCTTGACACTCCATGACCATTTAATTTCAATGTACTCTCATAAACTTGTAGATTTTCCCAAGGTGCCCATACACCAATTTCTTTTAAAAATATTGTTGCACATTCTTTGTCTAAAGGTCCATCATATAATTTTAAAGGCTTTAAAATTGCAGCTATGAATACATCAGTATCATGATAGTATCTTGAACGTAGGATAAAAGTTTTAACAAAATTAATAAAAAGTTGATCATCACTTGTAAATTCAGGTAAATTTTCATCTTTGTTAAACGATAATTTTATTGAGTTATCCATCGTCAATGATCTCATGTATTTTATTATCAATTCTGACTTTTTTAGAAAATCGATAAATTTTTGATTATTTGAACGAATCAATTCTTTAACTTGATTAATCAAATTCACTTCGTTTTGTGGTCTTATTTCAAATTTTCCATATTCTGTTAATGATGTAGAATCTGGTATAAAATGCGTATATTCTTTCATCAAAAAAATTTGTACGGCTAATAATTGTGCAGGTTCTAACTTGTCAGATTTAAATATATTCCGTGATATATCTTGTACACTAATGGTATCAACATCTTCTTCAAGAGCATATTTATCATGGATTTTTCTTAATTCTAAGATTTTTGATTGCATAAGAATTAATGCAGATTTGTACAAATCACCACCAATTTTTGCATAGTTTATAGGAATTGAAGAACCAGTAGTATTTAACAAATTTCCATTTGCTACCTTTGTGTGAGCATAACCAGGTATTTGAAAGAAAACATCATCATCTCGATGTGTTAAAAAATGTCCATTATGAAGTAAAATAGTGTTTTTCCCATTGCTGTCAGGATCTTTTCGCAACTTGGTGATAATTCCAGCAAATTCTCTTCCTGTTCTATTTTATCATTAATCAAAATTTAATCATAATTATCACAATAATCTTCAATAAATATAATATTAATTATTACTTTGTGATTGCTACAAAGTCACCAATCTCTAAAGGAGCTCTTGAAAGAATGGAACTTTCAGAATTCCAAAAACTTTTAATAGAGCTTCCTTTTATTTTCCGGGCTAGAATCATACTTTTGAAATGAAGTGAAATGTGGTCACAAATAACTAAATTTATCAAACCAATTTTAGATGTTCATTAAAAAAAAAAATGATAGAAATTTAAACACGAATGACACGTAAAAAGTTGGACTTTTAAAAAAAAATTTTTAAAGAGGTAAATATGAAAAATCGGCAGAATTATTTCCAGCTTTAACATTTATAATTTTTTAGTCTTCTTCATAATATTCTTTTTGCAAACACTGGAAATAGTAAAAAATGGTTTATACAGATACTCACCGTTTATTTGTTCAAAGTGCTATCTCTCGATGCTTTTTTAGCGAAGTTGAAGGCATAGAAATTTACAGAAAGGTTTGTGAAATAACTAAAGGTAATAAATAATAATAATTTATATTATTAAATCATTAAAACTTTTTTATAATAACGATACTGATGATCATATTGATAAATAGATAATAGACAAGAAAGTTTTCAAAATTTTATTACTACAGTTAATCAAAAATTGAATACAATAGATTTAGAATTTAGAAAATCTTCTGATGAGGAAGATGGTCATATTGTTTGGGCTTTGGTATATAGTCGTAATATTTTATCTTATTTTGTTTTTAGAAACATTTTTTTGGGTTAAAAGTGTTATTTTTTTCAAAAAAATAAAAATAAAGGTCAATACTAAAGGCGATGAAGTGGCAAAATTAGCTACTGAATATACTGCTTCAGAAATTTCATATCTTAAACATTTGGTAAATTTTAAAAATCTATTTGATCTTTTGTGATTATTATAATTATCGATAATATTAATCTATAATTTATCAATAATAATATAACTTATTATTCTGATAAAAAGATAGAATTAATTGTTACAGCAGATGATGAAACCTATTCTGTATCATCTATTATAGCATTAAAAGAATCATCTAAACTTAAAACTCAAATGACTAAAGTTGCAACAGAAGCATTATTACAAAAATTTGTCAATGATAAATGGTTGATACAGTCACGGTATGTTGGAATGATAAACTATACATTTATATATTAAAACCATCGTTTATATATATTGTTTGTGTGTATTAATTTAGTGAAGGAAAATACTCTTTAAGTCAAAGAACAATTCTTGAATTACAAAGTTATTTAAAGGAAGAATTTGATGAAAATATTTTTGAGTGTGTAGTATGTTTAGAAATTGTAACTAAAGTAAGCAAATCATCATCATCATTTATCATTCATTATATCATTCATTATATCCAATGTTTAATGTTTAATAAATATTATGATAGGGACAAAGATGCGAATTACAAGATTGTAAGGCTCGTTTGCATAATCATTGTGCCGATCGTTATTTTTCACAAAACGAAAAGATTTGTCCTATATGTAAAATTAATTGGTCAGAATCTAATAGATTTGGTTTATAGATGAAAATTGTATTCCAGCCATTTTACAAGTAACTTTAAATTTTTTTAAAATAATATCTATGTATATCTATTTTTAATTGCTATGAATAAATTTTGTCCAAAATTAACAATTTATTTTTTGATGTTAACAAATGGGCGTAACGTATAGGGTGACCAGAAAAATGCGTTTGCACAGAACCCGCAAACTTCATATATAGATAGGTCAGCAGCAAAAATTCCTGTTTGTTATACGATTTGACCCAGATCAAAATTAAGTTTAAAATATAACCTGTCCCTAAGGTTTGCAAAAAATTAGAAAAAAGAACATAATTTGTCCCATAATATATACTAGCATTAAAATTTTAAAACTATCTACTATAACGAAATTAAATTTGATTTAACTGATAATAATTCACTGAATTTAATATTTTAATGATCTTTTTTAATGTAAAGGTTTTGTGTAAATTTTTTTTTGAGAGTTTGTAAGATTTAGAGATCCTTCGAAAAGTTATTTTTATTATTATTACCAGTAGCTATGCCGTTATGCTTGCCTGTATTAGTATATCAGTAAAGTCGGCCTTCCATAAGCGCACCAGGCGAGACCGTGCATTTATATATAGAACAAAAGTATTTTATTGGTTGCACGTGACACTGGTAAAAAATAATGAACAATTTTAAACTTCTTTGGCACCTATTCAATACTATCATGTTCAATATCCTCAGTAGGCGGTCCCTCATTTTTGTTCAATCCATCTAATATGGGCATGCTGTAGCAAAACTGGGGATTTTAATCAGTCCTTTTGGGACCGGGTTCTTTACCTATTACCGTATATTTTTGGATCTTGCTAAGTACTTGATCGAATTGAGTGATCTTAGATTCAAAAGAAAGCCTGACTTTTATTGCACATAATATTCAAAACTTATTTATAGTTAATATTTAGTATATTGATTTTAAATCACAATTTTGTTGACGCATTTTAATAATAATATTAAATATCTCATTACATTTCTCTTCTCTTTTTTTGACAAGTCGGAACATTTTCGGGGGCTAGGGAGAACCTTCTGCCAATGTGGTTAATTTTTAAAAACTTTCGGGAAATAGTTAAATGCTTTTGGGAACGAATTTGCTTTTAAGCGATAATTAACACAGTTAAAGGACATTACAAGCCAGTCAAAGTCTCCTCTTGGTTTGGTATATTATTGTTGCTTGCTCATATTAACTAATTATTTTAATCGTTATTGTTTATGTAGGAATAAAATGTAAAAAAAAACTTTAAACTACAAATATTCATAACAGTATAATTATTTGCATTTATGCTTGAATTTGGATGCGTCAAAAAATTTTATTATTTTACAACTTGCGAGAAATGTCATGCGACTAATTAATTAATAATATTATATTAGTATGTTTCAATCAAGTTACAGTTAACGAGTAAAATGCTTTGTAAGGAAAAAAAATGCCAGTTTTTATTTGCGAGTTTATAGTTAATAATATTCCAGAACTATAAAATCTTATTCTCACATTCCAGATTTACAAATTTCCCTATATTAACATAAATGACATCATGGAAAAAATCCGGATTGCCTACTCAACTGGTTGCTGCTTTTATGAAATAAACTGAACATTTACGGAGTGATAAACATATTCACAGATATATAATGGAAATATTCTGGTGTGTCATTTTTTTACAGGGCTTTATGCAATAGACTTGAAATTCTCTTGATTCCGTAGATTGTTCCTTGGGAATTCTTGAAGAACAACCACTTTTTCTAAAAAATCAATTGCTTTTTGATATTCATTATAATCATTATACTTATTATTACTTTTCATATACACTTATCCCTATATATAATTTTTATGTTCACATTGTATTTTTTAACAAAAAAATATGATCAACAATTGAATTTCCTTTATTGTTAAAATTGCAGAATTTGGAAATTTTGCAGACAATCTTTGTTTTTTTATTCTTGAGCAAACATAAAAGTCTAATGCGCAATAAGCTTAGAAAATTGAGTGAAAATTTAAAAGTATAAATGTTTGAAAAGCTAAGAATGATCAAGGTAGTTAAGACACATTAATCTTATAAAATTTACAACTAATACAGTTAAAACAAATCATCCTTGTTTGATTTGCTGATAAAACAATGGTAACATGTGTGATAATAAACTTGCTATCTTAATTTTTTCACTATTCACTTCTCTTGCAAAAGGATCATCTCTTGCACGCACAAAAGATTGCATTGCTTCAAACCCAGAAGTTCTCTCCTCATAAAAGTTTGACAATCCTAACACTATTCTATTAACTGCATTTTTTTTTGTTTTCATCACTTTCTATAGAGGCTTGTTTGAGTTTCCAACTTCCTGAAAATTTTCCATAATTGTAACAAATGACTTCTGTATCAACTGTAAATGCCTTACCTGTTTGGAGAAAATATATATATATATTTAAAGCTCAACATGGAGATGAAAAATTGTACTTGTATTTCTTACCAATTTGAGCATAAATAGTTAAATAAAATTATTTTTAACAATATCTGCAGATTATTACTCAGGATATATATAGTCTATTTCTAATTTTCTGCCAACATCATCATATACATTTTGATTCACAACTGCCCAATTCTTCACCTAACCAATAACAATAATGCACATCATCAATGAGTAAATTTATATAAATTATATTTGCAAAATATATGAAAATGAGTAATACCACCTGAATGACAATACATCCAAATTCATTTTTATTTTTATGCTTGATAACCAACAGAATATCACCACCTTGATGATTATATTTTAGATTTATTGCATCATAATGCATCCAAACTTTCTCAAATGTATCCAAGTCTGGTTTATATGTAATTTGGATGAAATGTGTAAACCCAATTTCATAATCCTCCCATGTATCATGATGATCCTTAATTTTTCCAAATCTGGGAAAAAGTGCTTCCATGAAGTCCTTGACAGGTACTCTACAAGAAAAAAATAAACTACTACCTCTTTTTTTTTAATACAGCATATCCAAGCAGTCAGCAAAATGATTCTCATGCCAAGTTCTCCTTGGTCACCAGAATTAACTATTCCAGCTATAGAATTGTATTATTCAATACTGTTATTGTAGCTTTTCGATAATAATCATTTTGCAAAGTCACCAGTACTGCTTCAGCTAAAATGGGTTCTGATGGATAATAAATTAACACTTGTGTTCTATTTTCATTAACATAAATTATAGTTGCCATAAGGTAATTTTGCTCTAGGACAAAAATAAAGGCCTACAGTACAACCAAAATGTGATAAAGCAGTTATGCATTTTTATTGTTATTTCCCAATACCAAGGGCAAAATTGACCCAGTCAGCTTATTCCTAACCAAAGATATAGTCCCATTAATGTCACCTGTTGCTACAAGATTTGTCATCCAAAGTGGACGCCCAGATCAAATCCCATCATTTCTCTCAAACTATCAACTTCTTGGGGTAACTTTGTTTTATCACTACCAAAAATTTCATTAGTATCCATAACCATTTTTAATTGGGAAAAAATTCGAACCTGTATATATCTGTTGATGCAGCATGTATAAACGGGCCTAACAGAGTCTTCACATCATCTCCAACTTTTCTTGCCTATAAAATAGAACAGTAAATAAATGAAGAAATAAGAGGCTGTGTATGGGCAACTTATTTGTAAATCTTACAGATTTATCATCACTTTCTTTAGGAACCAAATTTCCAATACTTGAATTTGTATCTGTCATTATTCCAAATATGCAGTCTCCAATCCTGGATAGTGCTCTTCTGCACCTTCTATATGGAAAGTTATTATGGTCATCTTTACAATGATAGTTAAACATCATGTTAATATTAGATATTAAGATAAATTACCTATTAACCAATATATGTGTACTTGCCATATGAAACAGTACTGGGATCCAATAGCCAAGAAGCTTCAACAAACATACAAAGTACCTTACCAGGACCCAGATCAGCACAACATTTTCATGTGGTCACAATAAGGGTGTTGCAATTTTCTCCAAAAAGATTATCCATTGCTTTTCCAACTTCATCCCAAAATTTTTTACTATTATTCTGCAACCATCATTGCATTGAATTAGAGAAACAATAATTACATAATTAATTACTATATATAGATGTTCATTGCCTTCTTCTTCACCACGTAACATATCTTGATACACTGCCCCCAATCGTCCGCCTTCTTCTCCAATTTTTTCTCTTTTTCCTCCAACCTCGTCTTCTCTTCATCAAGTTCTTTCTTTCCCCTAAAGTCTTCCAACCATTCCCCGTCGTTTTCCCCTTCCTTGAACCGATTCAACTCCTCTTTTTCCTCTTACATGTTGCCATTTTTAAAAGTAAAAAATTTAAAATTTAAAAATCAAAAAGATTTTTTTCACATTTTATAATAAATTGGTCTATAGACGGTCCGTCGATTAATACACTGTAGTTTACAACGTGGTAATATACGTAATTGCATCATATATTGTGCCCGAACTACTTAAAGAGGCAAGAATAACGCAAAGAACACAAAAAAAACAGATATGTATAGCATAGGAATGCTATTGTGGGAAATGTTGCAAGATATCCACCATTTGATGTCAGAGCTCATAATCGTCATTTAATTTTTGATATCGTGAAGGATTACAACTATTAATGTTATCGGGAATGTCTAATGATTATGTACAAGTGATACAAATGTATTGGTATGTGGATTCAACCAAAATGTTAACCATTAGAGAGCTTTATGATTTTGCTGATAATACAATAAAGGAAATTTATAAAGGTGAAAACTTGTATAATAGTAATAATTATGGTAGCGGTAATACAGTACGAGTAGTAATTCGCAAGTACACAAATTACGTCCAGATGCATATCATTCAAGTAGAATGTTATTAGATGATGTTGGAAAATTAAAATAAAAAGCGAGATAGTTCCATTAAATGATCTTGATTTTAGCTCTTTTATTTGTAATATTAAATAAGGTGAATTAAATTTTCATAATAATTAATTAGTTGAAATTTATTACCAAGGTTATTTATTTTTTGATTTTAAAATAATGCAAAATGTTCTCATGATCATTATTTAAATAATAAAAAAGTGGGACATTCAATTCACTGATATCACCAATAATTCAAAGGAAAAAGTCATTGATGAAAATCCATCATCATTTTGAACCTTTATATTAGTCAAAAATATAAAACTCCAATTATAGTTGTTCTTTAAAATAAACAAGAAAATGGTGTTATTATATTTATATTTGTTAAAAACATCAATTTATTTTTTTGTTGGTTTATTAACATTACTAAATTCTGGTGGTTTCTCACAAATGCAGAGTCCATTAGATTCAGATGCCAGTAATAATATTCCTGGAATAAAATTAAAAGGACTGAATAAAGATAAAAACTCACAATTCAATGTTTATTCACCTTGGACAGGAAATGACATGTTCTGTATTGATATCGAAACTCCACCACCTAATACAGTACTAGTGCCTTATTATAATGTTTATATTCGTTGGTATCAGAGTAAAGATTGTAAAACAATTAATCCTCTCACAAACTTCATGTTGACTTTACACAATAATCCAAAATCTTCTGAAAATAGATATGCGCCTAAAGTAAAATCTGAATGGAGTACTTCAATAGCTTCTAGTCTATATGAGTTCCAGTACAAATGGATTGTACCTTTAATAGCTCATGGTACAGTAAAGAACATGTCTTTATTTTATATTCGTATTGAAACAGAAGGTATAGTTAATAGTGGAATGTATACTGTTTTCGGAGTCATAGGCCCACTGACTATCTGGACTTCACCTGGAATAGAAAATAAGACTTTATTTGCTCCAAAAGAAGAATTTGTAAACTCCACCTCCACAAAACCTCCTGTTCAACCCGTAGATTCTATTGGTAGCAAATTAGACATAGTACATATCATTAATGAAAACCCTTTTATCTTTAATATCATAATAATATTTTCTTTGATGATAGCAACTGTATTATTATTTATCTAAATTATTCAACATTTTAGAAATATTATATATAATGAATTAAACAAATTAAATTGACCTTGAGAAAGGTTTTCATATATAAAAGTTGTGATCCGCCTAAAATTAATTTCTATGTATTATAAAACTCCTATTAATATATATTTACAGTATTATTAAATGCAAATCCTACAATAAAGGTGAGCAGGTGAACTAGTTCTAAAATATCTAATGATCCGGGGATTTCGATGGGATGGTAATGAATATGAAGTAAGTTTGTGATTATTCCATGTTTTTCATGGATTAATTAATCCAGGATGGTCAATGAATCAATCCAGGGTGTCAATGGATCTCGGATGCATGTTAATTCGCGATACTAGTAAATTGCCAAGAAATTTTTTTACCAGCGCGCAAATAAAAATTTTTTTTTTGCTACTTAGCAACAGAAAATGTGGTGCGGTATGCACATATACGGATCACGAATTCTATTGTTACAAATGTTCCAAATGTTTTCATTTGAACTTTGTCATTGAAACTGCATCATTAAAGTTTTCTAATGAATACTTTTTCATATTGAAAGGTCTTCTTTACATAAATCGACGGCTATTCAACAACGGTGTTGCTTTTTCACTTCAAAGCTGTGATTATTTTTCAGTATTGCTTTAAAAGTGAAGGTAAACATGATGGTAATTTTAGTGACGTTGGCCATTTAAAAATTCTTAGCCGGTGGAAACGGAATATGACGTGCCATACCAACATTAATACCTTATTGCAATGGGCTGCTTATTTGTCATAAAGGAAAGTAACTGACTAACAAAGTTCTTGTTTGGGTTTAATTTGAATTCAATGATTCCAAGAAATTATGTGATAACATGTTCGAAGATAGAAAGTAAGTTTGGTTTTTTTTTGATAATATTGTATTGGTATATCTTAATTTTGTGCAAACGAAATCTCTGCTACCGAAAAAAAAATCAAATATAAGGTAACAAAAAATAACTTCTAAAATTTTAATTTTTATGACTAAAAAAAAAATATTAAAGTGTATTTACTGATTGATAACAAACATGAATAATAATAAAAAATTCAACCAACACATTGTTCGCAATGAATGATATATATAAATAATTCTCTAATCATTTAAAGAAATTTCTAAAATTACAATATATACTAGGACAAACAAACTAAACAACAACAATAATTTGTTTTATTTATTCATCTAGATCCAACAGAGATGCAATGATAATAATGTTGGTGGTGTGATGATGTGATGTAGTAGTGAGTGATAGCAGACGTAAAGTTACCCTACAACTATTCTTTTAGAAATCCAATTACCGTCTTCATCAGTACAACTGGCATTTGGCGTATTTTTGTCTTCTTCTATACCAAACACTCCAAAGTCTAAGACTTCAAAACAAGTTACAGAATTTCTTTGTACAGCTGCAACACATCGCCGTTCGTCAAATTTCACTTGCCTATATTAATTAATTAACGAATAATTAGTTTCAAATTTTTTTTTTTTCAAAAAAATTTTTGTTATATAAATATACATTACCATACACCGCTTAGTCCTGTTAGTAGATCACGAGTATGTTTTCCTGTTTTTACTTTCCACATACGCAACGTTCCATCCGAACCAGATATAACTTTGTCTCCATCATGCTGAAAGCATGTTATTGCCCCAGAATGAGTAGTCAACACATGCTTGCACGTACCGTTGTCAGGGTTCCATATACGAAGACTCGAATCTGCTGCTGCCGAAACAAGATAATCATGGGAAAGATCGAGTAAACCAACAAGAGACGAATGTCCTTCTAATGTCCAAATATTTGTGCCGTCTTCAAGACTCCAAACTTTAACAGTGCCGTCCATACTTCCGCTCATACATCTTTTTCTTTTGGCATCTAATACAACAGAATAAACTTTTTGTGTATGCCCTTGTAGACGCCAGACACTTTCACCAGTCATGATGTTCCAAACCCTAACGGTGCAATCATAACTACCACTAACTAGAGTATTTCCTATGCCTGCTAAAGCACGGACAGAATGATTATGACCTTGAAGTGTGCGAAGAAAATAAGGATTATCGCTGATTTGAGTATTGTCTGATGGTGATGAAGGTATAGTAGGATGATATGATGGATCAGTATCAAGATTAGGTAAACGCCACACTTTTAACGTAGAATCTCTTGAGCCGGTGACGATTAAAGGAATAGGTGGTTCAATAATAGGTGGTTCATTTGGATTTGGATTAACATTTTGCGGTGTTATAATTTGAAGACATCTAACGGTACTTGTATGTCCAGGAAACACATGAGTGCACACACCTTTTGAAAGGTCCCATATACGAACTGTTCTATCTGTTGATCCAGATACCAATGTTTTATCAACATATTGTAAAGCCCAGACGCCACCCTCATGACCTTCAAGTCTATTGATCATTCTACCGCTAACTGTATCATAAACATTTATACATTGGTCATCTGATCCTGAAATGATTTTTTCAGAATCAAATTGTAAACAAGTTACAACATTATTACCATGACCTTGAAAGGAGATATGTTTATGTTGACCATTAGACCAATTTTTTCGTGTGAGATAGTGTCGACGGTAGATCTCTTTATATGGATGCTTTGTTGAAGGTGGGAGAGGTAATTTATCATCAGAAGTATCAACATGATCACTACTTTGAGACATTGCATCAACATCATTATCATCATCATTATATGGCTTATCATGATCTTGATTTGATTCATTTTGATAAAGCTCTACCGAATCCCATCCAACGTCTGCTCGACCTTTACCTTTATTTTGAATTGAAAAAGTTTCCTCTGTACGTAATAAATTATCACTATCACTATTGTTCGTACTATTATTACCATTAGGAATAGATGATGGTTGGACCTCTGTACCTGTTGGTGAAAGTGTATAAGCATCTTGTAAATTTACATCATCGCCGTTATCATTATCTTCCTCTTCAATAATTGAAGAATGAGAATTTTTTTCTTGCTTTGCAACATTATCATAGTCAACTACCATATCATTATCATCATTATCATCGTCATTAAAAATATTTCTTGATGATGAACCTTCAGATTTAATTCCGTTAGTGACATTAATGATTCTCATAATTTCAGTATTATCATTCTCGTCAATTTTTACAATTGCCCTTTCTTCAGAAGATGAATTGTCTACTTCTCTTGAGCACCCATTATCATCATCAATACTATTATAATTATTTCGATTTAATGGTGATGTTATTGAACTTGTAAATCCCCAATCTTCTGAGATAGCACGTGCTTCTTCTGAATCATCAAGACTGAAACCATCAGACAACAAACATCTTTTCCAAGTAAACCCATCGCCATCTACAACATCCCTCCATTGTTTATTAACTTGAGCTGCTTTACACATACTCGATGCATCCAAGTATCTTACAATGTGCAGACTTAGTTCTAGTGGTAAAGTACCAAGGAAATCTTTTCTTAATGTCGGTAAAATTATATTACTAACATATTGAAGAGTATTAGTGGGGCAACGCCTTAATAATTGAAAAAGCATATAAGATTTCATTGAAGGCGGTAGTGCGTCGAATGTTGCTAACATGGTATTTAAATCCCATAAACTAGGTAATTCGGAAGAAGTAGTTGTGGTGGTAATGGCTTTTCTTGTTTGTTGTTGACTTTGTTGTTGCTGTAGGCTCCAATTACTATCATCAATAATTGTTGTTAAATTATCATCATCATTCATATTGGTGTTAGAAGAATGGTTAGCAAAGAAAGTTTCAAATTGATTTGTATTATTGTTTGGTGAAAGAGATGGAGAAGGAAGTGCAGAAGATTGGGTACTTCTTGCAGTAGAAGGAGTATCCATACCAAGATTAGATGTTGACATGGCATTATAATGTCTTGAATTTGAAGAAGTGGAGGGGGTAATGGATTGGCGTGAGTCAACTTGAAGATTATTATTATTATTTATAAGTGAATTTATTTTAATCCCGGTAATATTATCATCGTCACCATCCTCATCGTCACCATTCTCATCCTCATCATTGTTATTTGAAAATTCCATCCATTGTCTTTGTGAAATTGGATCATTCTCTTGTTTTGAAGGACTTGTTACCATGGATGAGGATGATTTGGCACAAACTTTCTTATGTGGCGGGGATAAAGATCTATAAGCCCGCGTGGTTTTGCTTAAATGATTACTAAGCTCATTGCTATCAATACTATTATTATTGGAAGATTGTTTAGGAGGTTCTAATGTTAATTCTAAGGGAGATGCAGGTCTTTTACGGGCACCGCTTTCTGAAGGTTTAGCTCCACTAAAATTATCATTAAAAGAATGATAAGTAGCAGTCTTTACAGTTTTTGATGTAGAGGATGTAGGACCAGATGCTCGCATATTATATAAAGCCTCTTGAAGCTATAAATAAGTATATATGTATATTTTATTATTTTAGATTTGATATTTAATTTATATATATGTGTATGTATTGTATTACAAACCTTCAACAATTGTTCTTCAGTGTCCTCATGCTCACGAATGTAAGCAGGTTGGCCATTTAAATCAAAACAAAACCTTTTTAAAACTGGAGGTGTTGGAGTGTCAGCTAAAGGATATTCTTTTGGATCAAGGTGTTTTGGTAAAGGTGGAGGATTTAATAGTAAAGGGGGAAAAGAAGTTGTAGTGGTAGTAGTTGTAGTGACCACAGTTGTGGTAGTTGTTGGAGCTAAAGATATTGTAGCCACTGTTGGTTGTCTACCTTGTGAGAAAGGAATAGAGGCGGTAGTGGATGAGGTGGATGAGGTGGATGAGGAAGATGAGGCGGAATTCGAGGTTTTAGATGGTTTATTTGATTTTTTAAGGGGTATTGAAGCAGATACAGGAGTTGAAGGTGAAGAACGAAAAACTTCTGAAGGAATATTATTAGTATCAAGTTTAAAGTTTGGTAAAGTATTGTTCATATTATTTTTCATAATCCTTAGAATATTATTATTATTGGTTTCTAGATAATAAAATTTTTTTTGTATATATGTAATAATAATAAACCTAAAAATTATTTCGATTAATTATAAATAATTTTAAATTAAAAAATAAATTATGGGGCCATATTGTTAAACAAGTTATATATACTTTCAGGGGACCAAAATATGCACATTTTGATTTTAGGTAATTATGGTTTTTTGTCACGAGGGCTCCACGCATTTATTATTATTATTATTATTATTGTTATTGTTATTATTATTTTAATGTTGAACATTAGCTTATAACATGCCCATTTAAATGTTGAATTCCATTCATTTTAAAGCTCTTATTGTTTTAGACTAAAAATTAACATATACAACCCCTCTCTTCAATTCATATATATATATATAAATGGAAGATTTTCATCACACTTTATCTATATATAATATTACACTATACATAAAAATAATGTAACACTAAATACATACATACACACGCATACACATATAAACATGGTGCAACACGTCTAAAAGACTGATTATGAATTACAAGAGTGGTCAAACCCCGTGATTTTTGTTCTTGGACATCAACTTGCCAAATTTTCATTTTTTGGTCGTCATATTTTTGTTCTGTCATTATTATCGTTATCATCATCATCATCATTATTGTTTAATTTAGAATTTTTTTTCATTTTTTTCATTTTTTGAATTTTAATGGCCTCTTCCATTAATTCAAAAACACTCTTTTCATAATTTTGAAAATCTTGAATTATCTTTTCCTAAAAAAAGAGGTACAAGAACATATAAATCAATAACTAATGAATTAAAATATATAGGTATATATAGATATATATACACACACACCTTATTTTCAATTGTTTGTTTTTTAATATTGATATTTGAAGAAGAAGATGATAAATTATTTGGAATTTTAATATTGGTTGATGACAAATCGTCATCCCTTTTTTTACTTAATCGATCTTCTTTTTCCCAAAATCTTTTCATTCTTTCTTCTTGTTCTTTTTTTATATCAAGTTTTTGTTGTTTAGCTGACTTTTCCGCCTCTTCCAATTCTATTGTATTAATTTGTTATTAATATAATGAACACATACAAATTCTCTCACATATATATATCTAAATGCTTATTATTTACCTTCTCTCATTGCTTTTCTTTTACCATCTAATGATTCAAATCTTTTCTTTGTAGCAATCCTGGCTTTAAATTTAAGATCATATTCTAATTTCTGTTTTGGATCTGTTAATATATTGTAAGCTTTTGTGATTGTGTGAAAAGTCTTTGTTGCTATTAAACAAAAAGAATGGTGATATAATAAATAAATTTTTTTTTCAAAGATAAAACAACTAATCTCTAGACATTTTTAATGTATTTACCAGTTTCAACATTATTTAAATTTTTATCAGGATGATAAGTAATTGCTTTTTTACGATAAGCTTTATTAATCTCTATTTCCGTACTATTATAATTCACGCCAAGTATTTCATAGTAATCAATAAATTCTCCTGAACTCATTTTTTATTTTCTTGACAATAGTTTATTGACAAATAATGGTACAAAAAAGAAAATCGTAATTTTTTAAAAATGATATTTACTGTGTAACAATTTTGGGATAAGAACATTTTCTCGTTTTTTTTTTGAAAATGGTAATTAATCACATCATTTAAAGAAGCAACAATAATAATTTTATATTAAATTAATTGATCTTTGCTTTTTCAGTCTAATACATTGCGTCCATATTTAAAAGCAGTTAAATCAACCTTAACGGCTGCATTATGTTTAGAAAATTTTCCATCTCAAGTGGTTGAAAGACACAACAAGCCTGAAGTAGAGGCTAGGTTTATTATTATTATTATTATTGTCATTATTATCATGGTTATTATTAAGGATAAGAATAAGAATAATAATATTTAATCTTTGATTTTATAGATCTTCGCCTGAAGTTGTAATGAATCCATTGATAATTAGCCGAAATGAACAAGAAGGAGTATTGATAGAGCCATCAATTAATTCATTGCGCATGAGCATAAAGATCAAACAAGCTGATGAAATGGAAAGAATTTTATGTCACAAATTCACTAGATTTATGATGTTAAGAGCCGATAATTTTATTATATTAAGAAGAAAACCAATAAAAGTAAATAGAATCAAAATTATATAATATTAACATGTATATATATTATATAATATTGAAATTATTGATTTATATATATATTATAGGGTTATGATATTAGTTTTTTAATTACAAATTTTCACACGGAACAAATGTTGAAGGACAAATTGGTAGATTTTATTATTAACTTTATGGAAGAAGTTGATAAAGAAATTAGTGAGATGAAATTAAGTTTCAATAAAAGAGCAAGAGCCATCGCAGAATCTTATCTTTTACAGGTAATAATTATGTTTTATTATATTCATTATTATGAAATTTATTTATCTATTTAATTATAAATTCTAATTTATTTTTAGTTTACTTGAAATGTTCATTATTTAATTTATGAATAAAAAAAAAAATTTCTAATTAAATGTTTATTGTTCGTTTGTTTGTTTGTTATATATATATATATATAATAATTATTATAATTATCTAATTGCTCTATTATGAAAAATGTTTATAATTTTATCATTCATTCTTTTTGCCATCCAAAATATTGGTAGTTTATAAGGAACCAGTGGAGAGAATTCCAACTTTTTGTTATTTCTTGGCATTGGTAAAGCATTATTGGCCATTATTATGTACTAAATATAATGTAATGTGGTATATATATATATATATTTGTTAATCTATCAACATTTATAATATTTATAATATTACTATTATGAATTAATTCACTTACAATTGGAAAGAATAAAGCAAATATTCCAGCACTAAAAAATACATCTACAAAAAATGTAACAGAAGTAAAAATAAAACCTAATAATAAAAATAAATAAATTACATTTAATAATATATCAATCAAGTGAAATTTTTAAAGGAGTGAGATTTTGATTAAATACCAAATCCTGCAAAATAAGCCCATCTTTCTTCAAAATAATCAATCCTTTGTTCTAATGACCAGCCTTTATTTATCCATTTATATCTATTTGGATTTTTTTATTAATTTTTTAATTTAGCGATTTTCTCTCCCCCAAGGAAAACAAAAAGCGTAAAATAGAAAATTGCTTACTCAAAACTATAAAATGAATAAATCCAACAAAAGTATATAAATGAACAAAATGGCCCAATCTTGGGTATAATGTAAATTATTGTTGAAAATATTAAATAATTCATAAATAATATTGTTCTGTAAATCTCATCCGCTACTACTCTCAAGAATCTGTTATAATTAAAATTTTTAGAATTTATTGTTTCTCCAATATAAACACGATCTGCAATGTCTTGGTACCACATTGAATTTAATATAAAACTTAATAAAAATATTGGATAAACCCAAAATAGCTGTTAAATAAATAAACAAATAAGCAAAGTCTATACATAGTCAGATGGGCCTGTTACTCCAAAACAGTACATAGTAATCACATAAATATGACACGGAGGTTTTTTACTGTTATTATTATTATTAAGTTAACGAACGACTCATTTGTATCGTGGTGGAAGAATTCATTCTTTTAATATTAGAAGTTAATGGGATGCTTAATTTCCAGAGGATTTTGTAAAAAGGATTAATTGTTTTGGCAGTCTTTACTACCCTTTGAAACCTAATAATATTATTAAACTAATCAAAAAAAGTTTAGAAAACAAAAATTTTCCCTTTCGTTAATTCAAATATTGAACCCATAATAAATGTTGAATGAAGGTTAATAAAAATAGTTACAACGACATTCAACCTTGTGGATGTTTCGATGCTAAATCTACTGATTTATTGGAAGCAACTCCAATAAATCTAGTTAAAAGTTTCTTTATTGTTGATAAGGTTAAAAGTGCTAAAAAATTAGCACAATCGATTATCAGTATAGAATATTTAAATGGTCATAATCAAATAGTTAGTTCAGAAGAAACGGGAGAATATAACGATTTAAAAACTTATTTACAACCTTTACCTGTTGATCAAGAAGTTACTAGAAAAGATTTGAATATTAGTGATGAACCTCGTGAAGATAACGATTTAGAAAAAGTTAGGAAACAGATTTTAATTTATTTTCAAGAGCATGGTATTGAAAAAGTTAGAGTGGAAGGTAATAAACTAATCATAAAGTATAACCATAAAGAAGAAGAAGAAGAAGAAGCAAATTCATCTGAATTACAGCAAATTCAATCTTATTGTCAAGCCAAAGGAGTAAATTCGTTAACTTTAAATGATTTAAAAAAGGGTAATAATAATCAAGAGTTAGGATATGGAAAAATTCTTTTCTATGGGGGCATTGCTGTGGTAGTTTTTTGCGTGGTAGGATTAATTGCTTATCTTGCTTATCGAAGTGAAAAAAATAGACCACGAGGATATTAAAATATAGTGGGAGTTTCAAACTTTATTATATGTCTAAAAGTAATCGATTATTTTATTAAAATATGAAAAAAAAGTATGATCATAATGAAGTTAAAAGTAAAGAGAAAGATTGCTTTGTCAAGGAAAACAGTAAAATTTTTGAAGAATCGCCAGTAAATAGGACTAATTATTTTACTTGTTTATTGCCTTTTTGCATTTTGCATTATATTAAAAAATTAATAAAAATTCATAGTCAATCGATAAAAATTTCTGAATTTATTTTATTATCATCATTAATACCGTCATTAATATTATGACAATAACAATTATTTAATATATCTATACATTCATCTAAATCTTTAGCCTCTTGAACTTTAATTATTTCAGATATTACAACTTTTGATACTGATAAAAAAATTTGTTCTTTTGGAAATTCCAGAAAATTTTCAATTACCATATTACCATTACCATTATTACCAATAGCGCTATTATTGTTATTATTGTTATTATTATTACAACTGCTATTACTTGGTTCTCCTCCATCTAATAAAGAGACATTGAAAACCTTTTCTATTATATTATAAATAATTGTTTCAAATTCTTCTTTATTTATATTTGCTTGTTTTTGTACTAATGCAGAACAAAATTTTAAAAAATAGCTTTTAATATTAGAAGTAGAATTTATAGTTGAAAATAAATGTTTTGTGGTTAAGTGGTTTGGTTGTAAATTGAGTGGAATTAGATTCAAAAAATGCAATGAAATTTCGGGATTAGGATGATAGACTGAAATAGCTTTCATGAAAATATTGTAAAATTCAACATCTATTATGATATGATTTGTGCGTTCTGCAAAAACATTTGCAATGAAATTTTTATTTCCATTTCTATTTGTAAAATTGAGTCTTGATTTGTATAATTCCAAAATACCACAAATATCATTCAATTTTCCTAATGTTGTAATTATAGAATCGACTAATTTTTTTGATATTATTTGGGTTTTTGATCTGGTGAACATTTCATTTAATATATTCCAAATATATTCTCTGTTGATTCTATTATGCAGGGAATGTTGAGCCAAATTATATGAATTATAATCATTGTTAATATTATTATATTTTTCTAGGGTTTTATTCCCTATAACATCTATTAATTTTTTATATCCAATTTTTTTAGGTTCTAGATTTTTTAACCACATCATTTCCAAAATTCTTATTGCTTTAATTATTTCTCCATGTTTTATAAATTTGTCCAAAAGTATGTTGTAGGCGCCTAATGCAGTATCCCCTTTTGAAAATCTATTTATTCTTAGAAGATAATCAAAACATTTTGATAATGTATTTTTCTCTTGTGAGGTTAAATTGGAATCTATTGACTTTATGTTGTTAATATTATGTTTGTCAAATGTTAATGAGTAACAACTCTTGATAATCTCTACATGTAAATTATGATCTTTGTATAATTTAAATTTTACTATCTTGGACCATATTTGCTCTAACTCATTGAATTCTTTACAATTTTGCAATAATATTATAAATGTTTGAGCATTTGGTTTCATGTTCCAATACTCCATCAATTTGAATGTAATGTTTTTAATTTGTCTGTCATGTATTAAAAAACAAGATTTTAAAAGTAAATTCAATAAATTAGGTGCTAATTTATTTCCTTGAATTATCAACTTTTCAATTAGTTTCAAACAAAATTGTGGATCATTAACTTCTAATCTTGATTTTATCACGATTGAATATGTTATCGAGTTTGGAACAACATTAGATCGATACATTGTTTCATAGACTAAGCAGGGGGAGGGGGGTTAAAAAAGAAGATGTGTAAATTGAATATAATTATAATATAATATATACACTTGGAATATTAATAATGAAAAAATCACTTACTATTTTTTACTTCATTTTGCATTCTTTTTTCATTATATATTTTCAATAGCACATTCCAAACATTAATTGCTAAAGATTTCAACAAATATTTTTGTTGGCTAGTGTCAATATCATGAATAAATTTTGCAAAAAACATGTCTACCAAATCTAATCTATCATACTTGGCACATTCACGCAATAAATATGAAATTAATTTAAAATAAAATAGACTTGATGAATAATTTGAATAAAGAGTGTTGTAAAATGACAATGCTTCTCTCAAAGTCATTTGTTTGAAAAAAGGGCTTGATGTCATCTTATTAACTTGAGCAAATGCCTATTTATTTATTAGAATCATGGATAATAGTATATATATATATATATATATATATATATATAAATAATGATGATAAATGGTAATTCATAAGTTTAAAATAAAATAAAATACAAACAAACCTTACATTTGCAGTTTCGATGCTCTTTTTTCATATATGATCTTTTTTTTTACAGTATCATTAATTTTTTCAAATTTTATTGGTTTACTACGTAAAACTCGTAAAAAATCAATATTATTAACCAATTTATTTCGATTAACTTGACTGAGAACAGCCGAAGAATATTGAAGAGTTTGTGAATGAAAAGTGAGACGACACAAACTTTTATGCAAAAGTTTTAATGAAGTCATCAGAAACGTTTTGTATTTTGTAAAAAAAATATGATTTTTTTGATTATCAATTGTGTAACATTAGATATTTGAATTCAAACAAAAATAAACAAAATTTATTCCAAAATCAGTAATTCGATAGTAATTACAAATTATGATTAGCTGTGTTATATGAATCTACATAAATTATGTTGAAGTTTACTTGATGGCGTTTATATTTATGAATAAATGAGTATATATATATATTATGTATTTATTATTATATATTAATATATTTATGTAATCTTTGATATTTTTTAAATCCATGTCTATTAAACATTTAACGACCATATCTAAATAAACATTTTCCAAAATAAATAAATGAATGAGCAATTGATATTATTTAATAGTAAATAAGTGAAAAAGAAAAGAAAATCTAAATACTTTTGAAATTCCCATTCTCTGTTATCTAATGGACAAACTTGTCGAGTTTTAAGCCAACGAGATATACAATGAAAGTGAAAAGCATGATTACAAATTCCCCAAGCCCTGATTTATATAATATAAATTTTTTTATATGAAAGATTTGATCTTTTATTTATTTTAAAATTTAATTAAAAGAAAAAACCTTACACTGTACATTCTTCACTGGTAGCAGATGCTTGATTTGCTTGACATTCAATACCTTTCAATTATAATAATTATGTTAATAATGATAATAACTATTATTATTTCTATAATCATTATCAAGAAATCCTACTTACATAAATCCATAATATGATTTCTACATATAGCACAGTTATCAACGACGATATCTTTTTTTTATTGTTTTAATATGAAAAAAAATTAATAGAGATCACCAAAGAAAATATAAGTAAACATCATTAATTACCCCAGGCCCACAAAGCTACTGCATTCCACTAAAAAAAGAAACAAGTACCTTAATTAATTATATGAGTTTAATAAATAATAAGTTCGTTTTGTAGAATAGATTCATATTCATACCTTTTTAACTTCAAAACGTTTTTTCCCATGATCTTTGGATTTTCCTGCAGATTTAGAAGATGTAGGTTGATCATCAATTTCCATTAAATTATCCTCCATTTTTGTTTCTGGTCGTTATTTAATTCTATTTTTTGTTTTAAGAAGTAGGAGTAGTAATAACAACCAACAAATGATGATGGTAAAAGTATAATAATAACCTTGTAGATCTTGTATTTATATATTTTTTTTGTGCCAAAAATGGTATATTGAACATTGACGCAGCCAGTCACGTGGCTATATTTCACCAAAAGGTTGGATTCTACTACTACTATAGAATCAACCACTAAAAATTTGATGATGAATTTTTGTTGATGCTAAAGTTGTTCTTTAAATAATGCAATTTTTATTCAAGATTTATATTAATTTATTAGCGCGCACTACCATAATGACAGACAGTAATAGATAATCCTATAGGGAAAATTTAATGTTACACGCTATTACTATCCAGTCTCCCACAAATAATGTAACTGTTATATATACTCAAAAAAACCCCCCATTTTTCCCACTCTATTTCATTAAAACACCAGGTCATTTATTTTATATAATGTCATATGATAAATTATTATCACCAGAAAGAGAGGATTTTGTATTTAAAAATGAGTGATAATGCTAGTTAATTTTGATAAAGTAGAAAAGATTATTTTTTTTCATTGGTCAAAAAAAAAACAAGGAACTTTCTGAAAATGAAAAATAATATTGTAAGAAAAAGTTTATTTATGAGTTTGAATTAAGTAATGCAACATATAAATTGGGCAAACCAAAAGAATGTAACAAGTGTAACTTGACAAGATACTCTGATAGATTCTGTGAAG